CATAATAAAGATGATGTACGGCTTGAACGTGATACCGCTGGCGCTACATATCACCAATATAGCCGGTAACGTCATGTCGAGGACTTTGATGGGCGGTCGCGCCGAAAGAATCGAATTCCTATTGCTGCACGCTTTCTCCGAAAAAGGATTCATATTGCCCGACAAGGAGTACAAGAAGAACATTCCGAGTCAAAACGGTTCCAATAAAACACCTACTTATGTCGGAGGTAAGTGTTTTTAGATTATACTAACCAGTAAAGATCAATAATTTTAATTCGGATGTCTTATCAGTATAGATGGGCGTGGAAACAGTTTATAAAAACGCCAAACTGCGCCTCAAAATATAAAAAGTATAATTTTTATTACAATAAACTAAATTCCTCTAGCAATAAAAACAAGACCAGTTGCCATATTATCAAAAACTCAAAATAACCCCTAATTTCTATAGAGTTTTAATTATTTTTTGTTAAGACGGACCAGAAAATATACACTTTCTGAACATTTTTCATCCAGAAAATAACGTATTGCCGATCAAGACCGGAAAGTAGACGTTAGGGACCAGTAATAGTATATTGTATACCTATGCAGTAAAGTGACTGTTTTCCGGGCCGGGTAAAGATAAAGACACTTTGCGAGACCTGTAACTTAACTGTCATGGTTTACATACTATTTTTTATACAGAAAACTTTACCCTACACTAAAATGAAATGATTATTATTGCTTCTTCACAATAAATTTGAATTTAAATAAGCAAATCCGCATAACATGTATGTGTAATGTGTATTGCAGCATCCCATACAGCACAAACACATTTCGGAAATATTTCAACAATGTTACATTGAAACATTTGCAATGTATAAATATTACGAAGCATTTCTGAAATATGCCTGAAACGTAAAAATGTCCCGTAAATATAATATTTCACAGTAATATTTCTGAAATGAAAATTAGTAATCTTTTAAAAATATTAAATAGTAATATTTCAGAAATGTATTCCTTTTTTTTTAAATATATTATTAGACTAAAAAAAGACATTTAAAAATATACATGTTTATTTAAAATACACAAAACTTAAACATTGATTCTTAAACAGACAAATAAATATATCTTAAAGAATAGTTCATAAAATTTACTAAGGTTTACAAAGACCCTCCCAAGTGAGATTTGGAAAGATTTAACTTGATCCCCTCACCCCCTTGAACACCTCGCGTAATTCATGGACGCCCCCTTATCGTTCATGAACATTTTTTGCGATAATTTTTAATTTTCCTAAATTTTACTTGACTATGTACAGGGCGGGCCAACGAAAACGAAACGGTTCAAGTTTAGGGTTCTTAATGGTCTTAATGTAAATTAATTTTAATTTCAAGCGTCTTTGTAAATGAAACGTATAAATTTAAAATGTCAAAATGATATCTCATTTCTCAAATGAGGCATAACTGAAAAGCTAATAAAAGACCGTCTGCAACTTTGCAGATCTGCAAATATGGCGGACTTAAGTAAACATATATCAAGTTTTCGTATTCCAAAAAAAATCTGCAAATTCGCAATATTTATTGTGGTTTATTACCCCCAACAATACTAAACCCAAATCCATTACTATGTTTAAAAACTCGGTAATATGACACCATGAACTGTATTCAATCAAAAGAAACAGAAGACTTATTCATGGTTGTAGGATGTTCTAACCTTCTTAAGGGTGGATTTGGATTTAGTGTTGTTAGGGGTAATAAATATTGCGAATTTGCAGATATTTTTTGGATACTTGCATCTGTAAGTCCGCCATATTTGCAGATCTGCAAAGTTGCCGCCATATTTGCAGATCTGCAAAGTTTCAGACGTTCTGTAATCTCACCCTTAATCTGTTAACTTATTTAGTAACTTTTCTTTGCGCGTTTAAAAATAAACCATAACTATTCCATTGTCAACTAGGTTTGGTCCTAGATCCCAAGGTAGGTTTCTACGACAAGCTTATCCTCCTCATGGACTTCAATTCCTTATATCCCAGTATAATTCAGGAATACAACATATGCTTTACCACATTACCTGTCACAGAGGAAGACGATGATCTGTACTTACCAGACAGCAGCCTGCCGCCTGGCATTTTACCGACAGAAATCAGAAAACTGGTAGAGAGTCGACGTCAAGTCAAAGATCTGATGAAGAGACCGGATCTTTCTAATGATCTGCGAGTGCAGTACGATATCAAGCAGATGGCGCTGAAGTTGACAGCTACCTCTATGTGCGGTTGTTTGGGTTTTGCGAATTCCAGGTTCTACGCCAAAAATTTGGCCGCTTTGGTAACGCAAAAAGGTCGAGAAATCTTGACGAACACCAAAGATATGATTGAGAAGATGAACTACAATGTCGTCTACGGAGATACCGACAGTATTATGATTAATACTAATATTTCGGAGTATGAACAGGTAAGCGTGTTAACTGGCGCCCAACGATTCTTGAAAGAAACCAAAAATTTTAGGTATTCGAAATCGGCCTGAAAATCAAACAGGAAGTCAACAAACTGTACAAACAAGTCGAGTTGGACATAGACGGCGTGTTAAAATATTTGCTGCTATTGAAAAAGAGGAAATACGCCGCTATATCTCTAGCGAAAGACAAAAATGGCGGTCTCGTCGCCACCAAAGAGTACAAAGGTTTGGAGATAGTTCGCAGGGATTGGTCTCAATTGTCCTGCGAGGCTGGCAAAAATGTTTTGGATCAGATATTGAGCGATCAATCTCCGGATGACAGAATAGAAAACATTCACAAGTATTTGAAGAAAATTAGGAACGATTTGGAAGAAGGTAACTAACTATATTTCTGACTAACTTGATTAAGAAATTATTTTTATAATTTTCAGGTAAAGTACCATTACCTCTATTGGTGATAAACAAGCAACTTACTAAAGATCCTCACACGTACCCCACTAAAGCTCATTTGCCGCACGTTCAGGTAGCGCTGAGGTATAACAAAAACAGCGGCGGCCATTTCAGAAGCGGCGACACTGTTCCTTACATAATTTGCGAAGATGGGACTGATAATAATGCCATACAACGTGCCTATCACGTTGACGAAATAAAAAATAGCGCAATTTTGAAAATAGACTATGATTATTATCTGAGACAACAGATTCATCCTGTCGTAACAAGAATTTGCGAACCTATAGAGGTAAAGTATTCTGTAGTTTTCCAAATTTCTATTCAATTCGGCTGGCTTATTACATACGTAATAGCCCAGGAATAATTTATAATAATTTGGAAATTGTAATTATGTCGTTTTTAGGGTACCGATTCTTACCAAATAGCTGAATGTTTAGGGTTAGATTTGCAGAACTTTAAAAAACCGCCGAATCAATCGGTAGAACTGATCGGGGGAGAGAATATGTGTAGACCGGAAATCAAATTTAGGAATGTGGATGCATTCAAGTTCGTTTGTTACGTGTGCAAACAGGAAAATATCGTAAAGGGTCCGTTGGTTGGTGCGACCCCGTTTTTAAAAAAATGCCAGAACGCCGATTGCAAAACGAGACCCATCGACTACTTACCCTGCATCCAGAACCAAGTCGCTTTGTCTATTCGTTCCTATATAAAGAAGTACTACCAAAATGTACTGATTTGCGAAGACCCAGCTTGCACCAACAAAACCAGAAAATTACCATTGAGATTCATTAAAGGGCATCCCATATGTAATGTCTGCAAAAAGGGCGTCTTGTCAAAGGTGTACAACGAGCAACAATTATACAAACAACTCGATTATTTTCAGCATATTTTTGATTTGGAACAACTCCTCAGAAGTAAGTATGTTTTTTTTGACGCCTGATCTTTTTTGCCTCCAATATTTCTATGCGCTTAAAAATAGTTCCAGTGTTAAAAGATCGTCAAAAAAATTCTTAAGAGTTAAAAACATCGTCAAAACCTTGCCCTCAATCTTTTTGGCGCCCAACTTTTTTTTTTTCGTTTAACTTTTTTTGGCTTTCAACCTGTTTTACCATATATGTATATATATATGAACCGAAGAATTTGACGTTAGACATTTTATAATTGGTTTTTATCGTTTTCTGAATAAATTAAGAACCTGTGATGGACAGAGAGATCGAGTCCGGCTACCGCGCTCTTCAAGATACGGTAGAGAAATACATCAACCATTCCTTATTTTCTAAGATAGATATGACAAGTATGTTTATGGGTCTGGACGTGTACAAACTGAATCAGAATCAAGAAGCGGATTCCAAAATTCTTGAAAATCAAAACGACTTGGATGAAGATGACGTGGTCGAGGAACTTTAAGCAATACTATCAGTGCTTTACATCTGAAGATTTACATTTCTTTTTTTTAGATTTTGCGAAAATTTTATTTTTTATACTGTTATTTAGTTTTAATCGTTTACAATATAAGTTCTTGTCATTTGATTTAACTCTTATTTTTAAACCCTAAACCCAATTATCTTCAGCATCCCAAAAACGCAATTGACTAAAAAAAATTCGGGCATCGTCAAAAAAAAACTTAATAATCAAAAAATGCTGGAAAAAACATCAACAAATAGCTAGTTTTAAGATTGTTAAAAAAATTCGCGGGAATTGAAAGATCGTCAAAAAATTACTTAGGAATTGAAAGCGTCAAAAAATTACTCGGGGATTGAAAGATCGTCAAAAAAATTAATCAAGATTTAAATAGCTCGAGAGTTAAAAAAAAAATCGTCAAAAAATTACTTGAATGTTAAAAGATCGTCAATTTTTATTAATATTAAAAGATTTTCAACAAATTATTGGTGTTAAAAGAACGTCAAAACATTGCCCGGTAATTAAAGATCGTCAAAAAATAGGGTTAAAATATCGTCAAAAAAATGCTGGAGTTAAAAGATCGGTAAAAAGTTTGAAAGTTTAGGTGTTAAAAATGCTTGAGAGACAGTAAAAAAGACGTGGGAGTGAATTACACTCGACATGTGGGAGTAAACTAGGTAAATAAGGTGGTGTAATTTACACTGGTCGACGTCGACACTGCCAACAATGAACGAAAGAACCTAATTACTGACTTTCTATTGCTTAATTTACTAATCGTTTGCTACAGCGCTGAATAAAAGAACGTTCGTTTTGTGGTCTTCACGTGTCAGTTGTCAGTCAGTGTCAATCTGTCAAGTCATAGTCATAAAAGAAATATATTTATTTATGTCGTGTATAAATTTGGCAAAAGTAGAAATCTTGTAAGGATATGCATTCATTTGACGATATAATAATAATTAGTGGTTTTTTAAAATATTGATCGAGAATAAATAAGTGATATTTGATACAAAGACGCGTACTTTCTACAAGAACTAAGAACGACCTTGCATAAAAATAAAGGAAGGAAGAAAAATTGAGGATTTTTAAAAAGGTAACTTGCGACATAGTGGGAGGTAAACTAGATTCGAGACTCCAAACGGTGTACAATTCCTCGAACAAAAATGTAAATGCAAAATTATAATACTAAGAATTTTCAAATTTAGTCCTTAAGTTATGGTAAGAATATTGCTAATATGTCATTGCTATGACTGAGGATATCACCAAGCCTCCAAAACAATACGATTATTTGCTGAAGTTTCTTCTGGTGGGTGACAGCGATGTGGGGAAGCAGGAAATTTTATCAGACCTGGACGACGGGTCGTCAGAAAGTCCATTTTGTGGACACAGTGGTAAGTGTATGTATACCAAATGGTATTACTCGGGATATATGTGCTTATTTGCTTTTTTTACAGCTTACAAAACCACCACCATTCTTCTGGATGGAAAGAGGGTGAAACTTCAACTGTGGGACACCTCTGGCCAAGGAAGATTCTGTACAATAATTCGCAGCTATTCAAGAGGTGCACAGGGTAAGTATAACTGTTGATAAAATAATAAAGATACCCTATTTAATAACTAACCATGAATATACTTACTGCAACTTCAAATATGAATAATAATATACATTCAAATAATTCAAGACAAGAACACTTAACAGAATACAATATAGGATCTTTTGTTAGACTTGGATGATTTTTTTTTTAAATATCACTACTTTACACTTAGAGATGTCCCAATCACATTCAGATTATTCCACCTAAATTGAACTGTAGTGCTATACAGTTATTTCTACTGGTTATTTGAAAGTAGATTTCCAAATCATCTATGTATATGATCCTGGCTATCTTTTTTGTCAAAGAGATGTCAAAGTGCAGTTGTTAAGAATGATAGGTACTTTAGATTGTTGTCATATGACAGTGATGTACCTCAAGGTTCTGTTTTGGGGCTTCTACTTTTTTATTGTGCATTAATGACTTGTATAATATTAATTTTAATGGATTATTTATTATTTTTGTTTTCTGTTTTATCACTATTTCATTTTATCTATCTCTCCTTCTTTTTATATGTGATTTGCTTTGTTAATGAGATGTAAATCTTCCTACAGTTATTTGAATTTTGTTTTTTAACTAACAGGTGTTCTCTTGGTGTACGACATAACAAACCGCTGGTCATTTGACGGCCTCGACAGATGGTTGAAAGAAGTGGACGAGCACGCGCCCGGCGTCCCCAAAGTGCTAGTCGGAAATCGCCTTCATTTGGCCTTCAATCGCAAAGTGGGCCTGAGGGATGCACAAATGTATGCCCACAAGCACAGCATGGCTTTCTTCGAGGTATCTCCTTTGTGCAATTTCAACATACACGAGAGCTTTTGCGAATTGTCCAGGATGGCGCTACATCGAAATGGTATGGAGAGGTTGTGGAGGTCAAATAAAGGTTAGTGTAAATAAATAACATTATATTAAAATAAAGCAGGTTTCAATTTGATGTTTTTTATAAATTAATAAATAATCATTTTCTTGAGTATTTTATTTATAAATATCTAAATTTTTGTATCTTTGTTTATATAGTACCTACTTAAAGAAAGTGACATACATAATAACATTATACTACAGTCTAGTAGAATCTATACTGCTGTATGCAATCTTAGTATGGGGAGGCCTGTATGGAACTACATTAAATCAGTTAAATGTTATTCAAAACAAAATCTTGAAGTTAATATATAAAAGAGATAGTGTCCCACCATAACTTTTTATAATGAAAAAATTAGTAATGTCAGATGTTTATATATTCACGCAATGTGTTGTTATATACAAAAAAGGAATTTTTAAAAAACCCTTTAGAACTAGAACTTCATCGAAAATGTACATTAAAGTACCAAAACCAAATAGTGAGTTTTTTAAAAACGGTGTAAATTATCTAGGGACAAAGTTCTATAACGCTCTACCTCTTCATATAAAATTATTAAACAAATATAAAAAATTCTGTAAAGTTAGCAAAATATACATTTTCCAAAATAATGCAAAGTTTATCAGAATATTCCAAGAATAACAGACTTAATACATGGATTTTTTTAAATAGTTTTTTTTTCTGTTTCTTGCATAAATTGTTCAAGTTTTATTTTTTATTTCCTTTATAATTCATTAAATATAATTAAAATAAAATTTAAATTTTTGTCAGCACATACAGGTGTTCTCACCTAGGTGCTTGTTATTATATAATTGGTTTCCATTATTGTACTTTATTGTAACTTATTTAGTATTGTAACTTATAACTATCAAACTACTTCATTGAGTGATAGGTGACCTCTCTAGAAAGGTCCTGTTAATTCCTGTATTAGGAAAACCTAACAAATAAAATGTATTTTTTAAGCCTAATCTCTAGTAAAGGTTTTTATTTGATCGCAAATTTAAAAAAAAAGTGTTGAAATTGGTCTATTTTCTGAAAATGGCTTCCTTGTTAGTTGAATCATTTTTCCATTAACCCCTTCTATTGACGGCTTCAACTATTTCTCTGCTAACGGGGACGCTAATTTTGCAGTACTGAGTCTTCAAGAACTGTGCTGCAGAGCCATAGTCGCCCGTACGACGGTCTACAGCATCGAGCAGCTACCGTTACCCACCAGCGTCAAGTCCCATTTGAAATCCTACGCCCTAACGTCGTCGTCCACGCAATGGCGGTACGCCATCACGCAAAAGAAGAACAGCGGCCATTTCGGTCGCAAGAAACGGTTCACGAGCACCCCCACCACGCCTGGGGGCTGCGTCTCGGACAATAGAACGAGTTGCGTTCCCAGAAACTCTTGTACAATCTCTTAGTATCCCCATTTAGTGTGATTAATTGTGCATTGACCGAATTTACCGGAATCTGATGAAAATGGAATTTGCTGATATACCAGCTGACCCAATAAGAATGGCTTTCGGTCATATCTCAAGAACAGTTCTTGATATATGGCTGAAAGTCACTACAACTGTTGTATTTTTTATTTTTAGTTTTGATAAAATGATGGGTAGTTGCATTTCCTTTAAATCGCGCGTTATTTTGAAAAAAGGTTGATATAATGTTAGGTACATGGTCATTTTATGAAAGGCAAAAACTGGGTTTATTGAGAATTACGTGGATTTAGTTAAAGAATTGGTATTAAACTAAATTCGTATCATTTAGGGGAAAGATTAAGAAAGGTGGACACAAATATTCTACAACTTAAACCTTTTTGACCTCAGTAAAGAAATAGAAATCACACTTAGCAGTGTTTGGATAGTAGAGTGGTTAAACTAATTAATTTCGCCACTAGGGCTCCTTTGAGTATGTTAAAATCTGAAGATTCACCACTATATACAAGGTGTCCCATGAGTTCCCATAAAAGGAGTCCCATGTGATTAAAATAACAAACAAGTTCTAAATTTCACTGTTTTCATTGTCGCTTATCGAATAACTAAAGCCCAATGATCAAAACTTAAAAATTTACGTAATTTCAATCTCAGTTTTTGATTTTTTTCGATATTATCAGAACCACACTACATTTTTATTTTATAAAATTGATCGTAATTTTTGTACATTGACTTTAATAATTAATTAACACGAACTTTGTTATTTTTTATTTTTTAGTCGGAACATGTAAAATTTTATTTATCACTAATATTTAAGCAAAAAAAAAATTAAAATGGATGAAAGTAAGATCATTATTTTATAATTAAATGTTTTGAAATTATTGTACATATTTTATTCGCTTTATTTTTGTAAGGTAAATTTTAATATTGATTTGTGTTTGTTATGAAATTGATTTGTTAATTTTACTTCCGTAATATTTTTGACAAGTATTTTATATTAATAAAGAACAAAACGCGCTTTGAAAACAAACAATTTACAGGAGGCACTTTTAACTTTTAATATTATTTTGTCCTACAAAGTTTACTATTAAAATACTACTCACAGCAATTCTTTTGTTAATAATGGAACTATTTATTATAGTTTTATTTGTTAAGCAGAGTTAAAAAAATAAAATAGTAAATTAAAAATACCAACTTTTTTGTATAGTGCCACTTTATAAGTGCAAAATGGTTATCCATACTTTAAAATTTGAAGTAGGTGGCCCTTTTTAGGGAAGAATAAAACTTCTTTTTATTACTATCACCAGTTTGATTATTTATTTTTTTTTAATTTGATTTTAATGAATGCCATATATTTTTCATTAATGATTTGTATTATTTATTATAAAGCCCGTTGTTGTGTTGTTAAAAATGATACATTTTTCTTGAATACATGTTTTATATTCACCCTATCGAAATACTTTATTTATACAAGTGTATTGTTGTGGATTGTTTTGGTTTTGCAAATAATGATCAACTTTAAAATAGAATTTGTTTTATTTTCCAAAACTTGTATTATCGAATTATGGAAATATTATTGGAGCAACTAAATAAGAGGACCAAAACTGAAAAATATCCAGAAACGAAATGTTCTACAGAGATCAACCAAGAGTTTTTTTTGTGTTAAATTGCATGAGGAATAATTATATTGATCCTAATTTTATGACACGTGTAAACATGGTTTTATACTGTTTTATTAAAAATCTCTGAAACATTGTTTAAATTCTAATTAATTGAGGTACACAATTGAGAATGTTTTTAACGGGCACTAAATGCATACTTGCATGAATTCTGTTGATTGAAATTAAAGTTTTCTCATCCTCTCTTGGATATTGCGACGACATTTTAAAAATACATCAAGAAAAGTCTCTAAAAAAGACTTGTAATGTTTAGTGGGTTATGTACAGTTTTGCCAGAGTCACTACAATTGTAGTAGATTTACTACAATTTAATGGTTCTAGTACGTTACTACACTTTTTTAGTATCTGCTACATTTTTAATATTTCTACTACAATCTATTACATTTACATATTAGGTCAATTTACCTTTATACTTCCAAGAAACCTAATTTCTGTTATTTTCTTCGCAAAATATAGGTGGCGTACAAACTCGTTTAAAAGAACTAGTCCCACACTTATTTGTCCTTGGTTGTACTTGCCACTCTTTCTCTTTTCACCTCTGTGCCTCAGCTACTCAAATCAATAGAGCACTTTGCCAGAGAAATTTACAATTATTTTAGTAACAGCCCCAAGAGATTCAAAGAGTTAGAACAGTTTCAATCTTTTTTGCAAATCAAACCAAACAAAATGTTACGTCCAAGTCAAACTCGTTGGCTTTCTCTTGGAATCGTGGTTAAAAAAATTCTGGACAATTGGGCGCCATTAAAATTATATTTTCAAGGTGCTGTATTAGTAGACAAGTTACAGTCTTGCGAAACTATTTTAAATTCACTAAACAGTGGAATGTAGAAATTATACTTTTATTTTTTAAATTTTGTTTTAAGGCTGTATGTCACGATACTAAATTAAGTACTAAATTTAGCACTAAATTAAGTCATTAATTTAGTACTAAATTTAGAACTAAAAATATTTTTTTTCCGTTTGCAACGATACCAATTTTTAGTACTAAATTTACTATGGGCGCACATGCGCATTGACGTATTAATACGTGAAATTAGCAGAGAAATGAAATATTCTGTGTAAAACAGACAAGTGAAGTAAATGGTGTTTTTATTATCAATTTGATACTAGTTGACTTGACAACCAAATACAGCATAAAAACCACGGAAAAACACAATAAAACCTACAAAATCAAACAGGCGAACTTTATTCAAGGCGATAATGTGAAATTGTCGCTAATTAAAAATAAAAGGGTACAGAAAATACCGTCGTGTCAACTTTTTCTATGAAAAACTTCTGCGCAACATTTCGGCGCACTTTTAGTACTAAATTTAGTAGAAAATAGAACAAGATCTAATTAATTAATGACTTTTTTTAGTACTAAATTTGCTGTTTGCAACGTGAATTTTTTTAGTACTTAAAAAATGCATTAATTTAGTTCTAAATTTAGTACTTAATTCAGTATCGTGACATACAGCCTTTAACTAAACTTCTTAATTGCTTTCCTGTTTTAAAAGACAAAGTAAATATTGAAGAACTTAATTTAGAATGGAGAATCATCCCTGACTTAAAAGAAATGGAAACACATTTAGATGACTTAGGACCGATTCCACCGTTGTGTTAAGGCTGTATGTCACGATACTAAATTAAGTACTAAATTTAGAACTAAATTAATGCATTTTTTAAGTACTAAAAAAAATCACGTTGCAAACAGCAAATTTAGTACTAAATTTAGTGCTAAAAAAAGTCATTAATTAAGTACTAAAAGTGCGCCGAAATGTTGCGCAGAAGTTTTTCATAGAAAAAGTTGACACGACGGTATTTTCTGTACCCTTTTATTTTTAATTAGCGACAATTTTACATTATCGCCTTGAATAAAGTTCGCTTGTTTGATTTTGTAGGTTTTATTGTGTTTTTTTCGTGGTTTTTATGCTGTATTTGGTTGTTGTCAAGTCAACTAGTGTCAAATTGATAATAAAAACACCATTTACTTCTCTGTTTTACACATAATATTTCATTTCTCTGTTAATTTTACGTATTAATACGTCAATGCGCGTGCGCCTATAGTAAATTTAGTACTAAAAATTGGTATCGTTGCAAACGGAAAAAAAAATTTTTAGTTCTAAATTTAGTACTAAATTAATAACTTAATTTAGTGCTAAATTTAGTACTTAATTTAGTATCGTGACATACAGCCTTTAAACGAAGTTTAAAATGACATTTTTACATTACCAATGTCATTTTAATCTCCGTTTAACACAACGGTGGAATCGGTCCTTAGAGACCTTTTGGTGTCTTTTGTTATGCCAAAAAGATGGCAATAACGATTTTTAGTTTCCAAATTTAATAATTGTTACAACTTATGTTTTTTCTTTACCGCATTCCTCGGCGTCAGCTGAACGAATGTTTTCACAATTGTTTTTAATAAAAACTAAACCCAGAAATAGTTTACTTATTGAAACCTGTCAAAATTTATTACATACAAAATATTATGTATCAGACTGTAACAAGATTTGTTATAATTTTACGTCAAACTACGAAATTTTAAAAAGGAACGTCTATCCAAAACAAAATCAAGACACTGATTTACAAGATGTAGCACCAGCTGCACAACCTATTCAATACATCGACACTGAAACTATCTAGTATGATCTGTAGATTAGTTTTAGCCATATTCGCCATACTCAGCATCTTATATTTAGATATATATTTTTAAAATATATGAATGTTTTTTTTAAGTTTTTAAAATCAGTTATTATTTTGTTTACTTTTTTAGAATTATGTTTTTATTTTACATACGTTTTTTATTTTATCTTACTGATAAAATTTTACTATTATTTTAGTATTATATTTTAGTTCTGTGTTGCAATAAAAAAAACTAGTGCCACGCCTTTTTTTTTAAATAATAACCATTTTAATAAATCTGCTACATTTTTGTCGGATCTACTACAATTTCGAGAGTCAACTACTACATAATAAAAAAAAAATCTGGCAACGCTGGTTATGTACCTACTTAAAATTCATGGTATAAAAAATAGACTTAAAATTAACGTAGCCAAACGCTACAAATATGTTTCTTAGCTTCAGGTAAAAGTTATCAATCAAACTGTCCATTTGATGCCGGCTAAAGTCGACTAAAATCAAGATAATATGATATTCTATACGATACGTAACAAATAGACTTGAGGAGCAAAACAGTCCAAAAAAGCATCTTCTGCACGTTCAGCATTGGGTCAACAAAAATAATTTCTGTTTAGAAGCTAAAAAAAATCCAAGCGCGTTGGGTCAGCCTAAATTATAGGAGCGTCAGTCAAGGTGCTTGCACCATCTAAATATGTTCCTTCCGCCGGCACTGCCTTTTACAGCTAGTTAACATGGAATTCACACTTAGAAAACAGAGTCAGAAGAGCATATATATGCTGCGTTTGAGAATCCACATCGGATGCATTTTTTACATCTCGAGCGTTTTTTTATCCACATCGGACACATCTGTCCCATTACATTTACGTATACTGAACCACGT